CTGAATTTGCTTTCCTTTACTAATTTCATATAGTTCTGCGATTTGTTGAATGACTACAAAAGCCCAGGAAGCTAATGACTAGGGTGCATGTTTAATATGTACTGTCCAGAGTAAATTTTTTTTTAAGTAATCAATTTTTATTAGAGATGAGCTTCCAGACCATACAAGATTTCTCATATGCTTAATCCTGGATTTGGCACTTTACAGTAAAAAATTTTGACCCTAGAACTGGAAATAAAAACTTGTGTTTTGGTTTCCTTGCTTGCTCAATTTCTAAAATCTCCAGAAGGGGCCACTTGTAGCAGCGGAATTTGTATTTCTTACCAGGGCAAGGTCAGCATTTCCTATCCTCTAGCTTCAGAATAATCAGTTATGATAAAAAATAAAAGCAACCTTGACTATCACACTTAGAACCATTTTATGTTTTCAAATTAATTCATCTTCAAGTGAAGATGAACTGTTTTTTAAAAATGCATTTTGTCTGAGGTAGCCTGCAGGACCCAGTCTGCTGCATCCAGTCACTGAAGTGGCAGTGAGGGCTTGCACAGAGTGGGTCTCAGAAGCAAGCTGTCCTTTTGCGATGTGGAATGCCTCAGTCAACAGTCACAGCTTAGTACACATGAATGGGAGACCTCAAGTAAAGTGTACACTGAGAGGAAAGCAAAGGAAGGCAAAAAAACTCCTGAGTTTATAATCATGAGGCACAGATCAAGAAACAGGAAGAAGAGAGAAAAAGGTAGTTACTACTGGTCTGTCTTTACAAATAGTTAACAGAGAAATCTTGCTTTGTGTGTTGTTTAGGATCAAGAAACGGGTTTCATTTAAAAGTGCTCTCACCTTCCAAGATTTATCACACTCGGCAGCATCTGGTGCCATTAGGCCTCTGAGCTGGTATGTACTTTATTGACACATTTTGAGTAGCTGCTGATGGCTAGGAGGAACTTTCATCAGCAATCCAGGTATTAAACCATGCTTTTCAAGTCTTGTTTTATTCTTCCATTGATAACATGGTCCTATTGAGCAGCGTTTCAGAGAAGTATTCACAAGTTTTGAGCCAAAAAATAGACAGTCATGTGAATAGTAGAGTTCTTTGTGTACACTTATTTTATCACTCTGTTATATGTACTCCTCATAAGACAATTTAGCTGTGAAAATGAGCACAAGGAACACAAAGTAAACTTGCTGGAACTGGCTCAATAATATGGCCTATGCCTTTCAAATTCACAGCATTAAGGCAGTTCTACTTCCTCAGTTATTAGCTTTTAATATTAAAAAAAAAAAAGCGTGTGGTACTAAGATGGCTCCCAGTGATCCCTGCTTGCTGGTTTTCACACTGTTGTATAATCTTCCGTCCCTGACTGTGAGCTGGACCTGGTGACCTGCTTCTAATGAATAGAATATGGCAAAAGTGTCAGATGTCACTCGTGAAATTAAGTGACAGGCTCTGGCTTCTATCTGCCCTGCCCACTCTGACTCTCGTGCTTGCCTTCTCTTATGGCAAGATGCTCTATGGAGAGACCCGTGTGACAAACTGAGGGAGATTTCCAGCCAACAGCTAACATGGAACTGAGGCCCTCACTGCAACAGCCTGCGAAGCTTTGATCGCAGCTTCGTGGGAGACCTTGAACCACCTCCAGGTTA